TTAGGTCTGCTGTGAGTGAGGACTGTGCTAGCATTTCCGAAAGGGTGAGTGTTGTTAACCGGATTTGTTGGAAAATGGTCCGTACTTTGTAAGATCTTACATCGGTGGTACTTTTTACAAACTTCATTCGCGGTGATCATTTGGAGCTGATGTGCTCTAACAATTTTTCAGTGCGAATTTCTAAAAGGCACAAATTACATGGTTAAGCTAAAGGTATTAAGTTCTAGATGTCGTAAAAGCACCAGCACCATCTCTCATTTACCTCGTTTGCAGGGGTCCTGTCCTACAAATGAACAATGGAAACAATTACCACAGTCAGAAGAAGAATAGCAAGGATAACTGCCGATGTAAGGAGAAGCGCAAGTTTATATGGGAAATTAGAGGAAGCAACCGGGTTTGAACGACGCCTGGTTGTGCTGTTTATCTCTGTAGGCAGTGACAAGTTCCTTTGTACTTTCTGAAAGTGTAGATGCCATCAACACACCAGCTTTCACCTCTAACGCAAAATAACCAAAATAAAATAAAAACAGCAATAATAAAAAGAGTTCAGCTTGACCCGAACACTCGCCATAATTGACAGACATTCAAGTAACTGCGACATCAGACAATTTTTAAATCTTTGGATAGTTTTGCTCCCATTCTGTCTAAGAAATTGAAATAACCGATCAGTGAAAATAAAATACTGACCAATTTTAGTTCTTCAGCAGTTAAAAATCAAAAGTTTTTTGCAAATCAAAGGCTTCAGGAAAAAATTCTTCACTTCTAAATCAGTCTCTCTTCTTTAGAACCCCCCAATTTTGACCGTTTAGTCTTGTTCGACACAAACGAGTAAGGCTTAAATACGGACGGGGAACCGCAAATCAGAAAGATAGAAATCGTTTTCAATGAACAGTAAGTCGGACAGTAACAGCGAACAAGAAAAATAGACCCTGATCGACAACGAAAGCCATCAGTTTATAAAATGTCACTGAAGTTGGTTGGTATAACAGGTCATTAAGCAAGAACCGGAACAGCCTTTGTTCAGATGAGGCATCACAGGGCCTTTATCAGGGCGTCCAATGCTTTGGCTAACGCTTTCAAGCAGAATAAGAGAGATACCGTTTGAGCGTGTTAGGGGACGTCCCGTTTCAAAAATTAATGAACAAGCACTGAGCCGTAAGTACGGAAGCATTGAGAGATACTCGCCCTTTTTCCGATATCTCTTTTATCGTTTTTAACACTTCCGAATCAGTGAATGCTTATAATTGCTAAAAGGCACGCAAAAATACCGACAACGGAGAAGCTGCTTTCAAGCAGTATTTTTGTTAAAGTGATTGCTAAGTGTCGCCGAACAAGCCCAGCACAAAATTTCTGCCTATACAAATCTCTTCCGGTCTTTTGCCTAACTGATTTGCTGTTGATTACAAAACTACGAAGAATGCTACTTAAGATGCAAACTAATTACCCAATTAATCAAAGGTACGGTACGAAACAAAAAAAAAACTTTTCAAAGACTATAGCACTAAACTCATTCATTACGGCGTTTACAAAAAAAAAAAAAACAAAGGATTATTATCACTTTGACAGAATAATGACTGACGCTGACGAAACATACCGAAGTCACTTTAATTTCCTTTAAATCTTGAAAGCTTATTCTTCGAGTTCGACTGCAATCTGCAGATATTGCTTCACTCTTCTCGACTGACAACCCTTTATTTTGATTAGCCGCAAAAATAACTTGATTAGTCATTCTAAAAAGAATTATAAGATACGATATATGTTGAAGATAATCTTGTCATATCATCAAACACCCATTAACAGCTTTTCTGTTAGCATACCTCCAATAATTCTGCCATTAAACGAGAATCATCTATAGTTAGCTGGTATTATTCTATGAAGAGAAGCTGTCTAGTGCTTTCAGTAATTTATTACGAATTTATCTGTAACAAAATATCAATTTATGAACGAGTTTATAATCCTAACTGCGCATAGAATTCAGATAGTCGATCAAAAATAAGGATCAAAATGAAAATAGTTTCACAAAAAAAAAAAGCGGAAACTTGACAATTGCTTTTCACTAAACAGTGATAATTTAAATTCTTGTGACCACTAGTTGGAAAAAAATATGAAAAAATACCTATTGAACATTCAAACATTAAACATTCAAGTCCTACTTTTAATTTCTATAAAATCTGAATATATATATATATTCAGATTTTATAG